TTTTTTTTTTTTTTTTTTTTTTTTTTTTTTTTTTACTTCCCTTTCCTCTGTTTTGAAATTTATATGCGTGTGTAAAAATTGTGAGCTTCATAAATTGTGTACTTCATAAAATGAAAACCCCCAAAGTTGCGAACTCCCTCAATTTAAGCTTCGTGAATATATAAAGTTCACTTAGCTATTTCTTGCACATCCGAGATATGCTATCTATGAGGCGCGGTTGGAAGTTCGGGGCGGGGAAACACGTACTGTGCTGAATTACACGCGAAAGGCTTACGTAAACGCTAACAATTTCTGCTAAATTGGATACGAAAAAATCAACTTGCTTCTTATATCTGTATCTTCCCAATTTTCGCAACGTGCTAAAGGCTCCCACAAATGTCACCGCAGTCAAGGGGTGGTACACGTGCGTCCAATGATACCATGAACTTATAAATCCACACCGAACTTGTTAATTCGCGTAATACAGCAAGCGTTTTTTTTTTGTTTTGTATAGCTCTGTAGAACTAAAAGTACATTAAACATATAAAAGTACAAAGGCGGGATATGTGTATTGTGCTACGTGCAATGTGTGTGCGTGCTTGGGCGTATGTAAATATGTGAAGGCACATGGAACACACATACACACGCGCAAGTGTGCACGTATTTACATACGCACTGCATTTTTTTTTTTTTTTTTTTTTTTTTTAAAACCCCAATTTAGCTGTTTTGTTCATACAAAAATGGGCAATTTTCTGACTTTTTTTTTTTTTTTTTTTTTCCCCTTCTTTGTTTCTCTCTTAATTTTGGCTATCTGACATGTAGAATAGAATAATCAATTGTGCTCTCCTCTCCTTCGTACATTTTTATCCTATACAATCCGAGATGACAGTTCTTCCTCTTCGTTACGTGGCAGTGTTGCAGTGGTACATGTGAGTCTCGCTAGGAAAGCCTTACTGGCACTACGCTATCGTTAGCACGGGTGACCCAAAGCAGTCACGGTGTAAAGCATAAAGGCTATTAAAGAAAAATCAAACGATGTAGGTGGGCCGCCGGGGGGGAGCACGTGCATTGGGCTTTATGCTTCAGTCACCTGGTTGTAAAAGGAACAGGTGTCCACATGTATCATCACGCGCAACGCCGAGGTCAGGATGCGGCGAGGCGGAGGGGCGACCACACAGGCTAACGAAGCGAACGTGGTACACGTGGCAAACATGGCGAACGTGACAAACGTAACAAACGACGCAAATACCAACCAGGCAATGAATTCAAATTTACCACAACTGCAGGGGCGCAATAACGAAACAGATTGAATTCATATCACGGGGAGAGAAGTTAATTTGTAATATATATATATATATATATATGCATACAACACCTGAGTACGTACGTACGTGCGTGTTGTTAAATCTATTTTTGGGCTACTTCAAATTCGTTTGCAAAGTGCAATTTGCTTCTTACGAGTAGCTGCGCAGCGTGCACAACAAAAAAAAAAAAAAAAAACAAAAAGAAAAAAAAAAAGCGTTAGCGCTGGGCACAGATTTATCAAATTATCTTTGGTAATGATGCGCTGCCGACGACGCAGGTACAAAAACTATGCGCGCGTGCGTAGTACGTGAATGCCGTGAACACGTGCACATGAAGAACGTTACACATGCACAAACCGTATACAACGTACGTGCGCGCGTGGTACGAAAAAACGAACAAGTGGTATGCGTGCGCACGGGTCAGCGTTAACTGCGTGCAGGCAAGTGGGCATTCGTACGAGTATACATGTTTTTATGTACACGCGCGGATGCTGTACGTACAATGAACGTACATGGCTGCTTCGCCGCGCTGGCGGGGATTTATTTGTACCTGTAAACGTACGTACAAGTACATGTAGTATTTTATTTATACGAATGTTACATGGACGTATATATGTACTCAATACATATGTTGTAAACTATCCCGTTCAAGCGTTTATATATATATATACAGGTGGGGCGAAAAAGGACCCTTCATCACGTAGTGTATATATATATAATATATATGTAAATACATTGGTACATACTCGTGCGCAAGTTTGCAATGTCAATGAGATGGCAGCAAAATCTCAAATCTCAATTTGTGTTGAAAAGTTGAACATCTTAACGCCTTTTTTTTTTATTTTTTTTCTTTGCTTCATTTTGGTGTTCACTTTTTTTTTTTTTTTTTTTTTTTTTTGAGTAATTTTTTTTAATTTGGGTTGTTCCGATAGGTGGCGAACAAGGGACACCGTGTTTTGTGTTTACTGCGTTTGTTTGCCCTTACATGTTCAAAATTGCATATATTGCTTTGCGCAGCGTTTATATACATTTGTACCGCTTGTACATTTTTGTATACTTAATACATTTATGTATTTATATGTATAATAATATATGTACAAATACATGTGCGTATGTACATACGTACATTATGATTGCGCGTTGCAAGCCGTTTCGCTGTTTTACTCGCCCTCGCGTATTACAATTTTGTTACATGCGTCAGGTGCCGTTCACTTTTACGCATGTTCGTGTTGTGGAGAAAAGGAGAAAAAAGAAGCACCCGCCGAATTTCCTGTTTTTATATGCAACAAGCGGGCTAAAAACATAGTTTACAAAGTTTACATATGCGAGAACGGTTGGTCATGTGTTACAATGCGGTGTGTGGCACGTAGTACAATATATA